CCTGCCTCAGCCTCCCAAAGTGCAGGGATTACAAGTGTGAGCCACCGCGCCCGGCCAAAAATATATATCTTTAAATTAGTAGTTAAACATAAATTAGTAGTTGAATTGTAAGTATGACCTCTCAGCTAAGCATCTGATACTATCAGGATATGGTTTAACATGTGTTGATGGAATAATTGTTCTCATTGTAAAAGGGAAACAAAAGGAGGAAATTCTGAAAGTTGCCCGCCACTTTGTATTTTATTTACAAATGGTTAAACATGCCATGAAATTTGTGAATAGCCTCTTTCAAATTTAGAGTGTGGAGCTGCTTGTGGTCAGTCTGTGTCTATCTCAGTGTCTGGAAATGTTTCTATGAATTTGTAATGCCTAAAAGCATAACACTTTTACATTGCTGATGCCAGTATTTAGGGTTTATGCTTATCCTCTCTCACCTAAGGAGAGCATTATTCTGTCATTCATGAACTCAAAACAACACCTATCTGCAAATCTGAATGCAGTCTGTTGTCTGCTATGTGGTGTACAAACTCTTGATTAAACTCTCTGGCCCAGTCTCTTCCTCTTCTGATAATAGCACACCTGGTCAATAAACATGCTTCCAAAATGCCAACAATGGAAATATGGAAGTTCAGTGAAGAAGCTAAATTTGGAATAAATGTGAGTTTACATTTAGACATGTTGACTTTGAGGAAATGAGAGGGAATTCAAGGAGAACTATTGCAGGGATAGTGACAGATTCTGAATACGAAGTATAAGAGGAGTAAATTGAGCCATGCAAATAGAGACCATATTTGGAGTCATGAAATTTCTGAATAGGGTCTGAGGGTGTAGAGCAATGTGAACAACCTTCTTTCTTTTTTTTCTTTTTAAACAAGGGACTCTTAAAAGTAACAGAAGTGGACCTTATTTTTGTAAACATTGAAAGTGAAAATAATGTCACTGAATTCAATGAAAAAATGTATGCTTTAGGATGATTTCGTAAAATGTGACTATTCTTCCTCCAGGCAAATGTTTTCTGGCATTTTCTTGATACATATCTGGCATGGGATTTAAGGGATGGATAGTGGAGGGTCAGTGGAGAACTGAGAGAGAAGAAGAGAGACAGAAGAACTGTCAGCTTTCAGAATATTTGGAAGAAGGAAGAGGGAGAAAATAAGCAGAAGTTCAACAAGCTGAGTACTTGTGAAAGAGATTTTGGGTTTATGTTTGAGGACTAAGAGAATAGAGATGGAACTCAGGTGTAGCTCCATACAATGAATGGGTTCCTCTTTTGATGTTTTTTTTTCAGGATGGGAGTAAGTCAAACCTTTTTAAAATATCTGCATGTGTCTTTGATCAGATGGGTCGTGCCTGTGATCAGCTTTGGCAGCGCGTTGGTTCATCATTTAGATTAGAAGTTTTTATAGACAGCCTGCCAATGCCGCTGAAAACTTTATTCTAATACAAAAATATACATGGTTGGTAGGCACATTGCTATACAATCTAACGCCTCAGAGGCTAAGGCAGGCAGGATTACTTGAACCAGAGGGCAGCGGTTTGGTGACTAGGATAATTGCTTCTAGTCTGAGCAACAGAATGGGAACTCATATAAAATCAATCCAATCAATAAAAATAAAAATAAACAAAAGAACTGCATATCTCTATATGTGACTGAAACAGAAGTCTCAGCGTGCTGAGACTCCAGGATTTATGGGAGCTACAAGAAGAATGCCAGTAGAAACTTGTAATGCTTTTTGAACCACTAAAATGTTATCTGAGTACATATCTAAGATGTCACAACACTGAAGCAGCTTTCTAATCTTTTATAACTTAATTTTATGGCTCTTTAGAGTTATAAATGTTTCGCATTTATATATTATTTTATCTTTGGAATGACTTCTTGAATTATTGTCATCCATAATTTGTAAATGGAAATTGGAAGCTTAAGTAAACTAGAAGCATATGAGAATTTTAATTAATTCCAATCAATTTAACATCTACCCAGAGCCTTGATCTGAGTTTCAGGTTGTACTAGATACTGGAGATGCAAAACTTAATAAAATGTGCAACCAGTCCTCAACCATTATACCATTACTTTCTTTGCTTTTCCCAAATTCTCTCCCAGGTTTGATATCCCCACCCTTACCTTGGTTTGGGCCAGTTCATAGTGAGATGCCTTTAGGCATCACTTACACAAACACCAGCTTACAGAAGTGTTGTCCAAGTCATTCTGGAAGTTCCACACCTATGATATAGTTAGTAGAATTTAAAAGCGGCTGGTTAAGACACAGTGGTTCATGCCTGTAATCCCTATGCTTTGGGAGGCAAATTAAAAGTTGCTTGGGGCCAGAGTTTAAGGCTATAGTGAGCTGTGGATTTGTGCCACTGTACTCGTGAGCGAGACCCTGTGTCTAAATGAAAATAAAAACAGGTGCAAAGAGTAAGATCAGGAACTCTTATACAACCACATTCAGAAGGCAATTCAGCAAATCTAATAAGCTAAAGATATCTTCATCTTACAATCTAGCAATTCACTTCTCCATACCAAAACTCTCCCTTAAATATACAAGAGGCGAATTAAATGAATATTTCATTGAAGTATCATGTATAACAGAAAAATAATTGAAATGATGTAGTTTCCATCCACACGAGAATGGATAAGTAAATTGTTTGTGATCACACAGTGGAGATACTACATATTATGGATAAAATGAATGAACTAGAGCTTCTGGAACTAAAATATGCATAAATCTAAAATGTAATACTGAATGATAAAGTAGCAGAAAATACATAAATTATGCTACTGATTACACTAAATTTAACATGTAAGTAATACTAGATACTTCCTATGTGTGATAAGCATTTGCGAAATCATGGTCATAATAAACGTCATATGCAAGATAGTTGTTATGTCTGTTATTGAGAAAAAGGATTATCATATAGCATGTGAAGGCTTTAGCTGATTCATAAAAAGAATCTGAAGCAAGTGTGCACAAGTTAATACTTGACAAAGATGAGTAGGGAGGAAAAAAGAGCTTGTTATTATTTTCTATGTGTTTATGCTTGAAATATTTCATTTTAAAAGGTGTATGGCTCCTAGACTGGAATTCTTGGCTTTTGTGATTTTGTGTGTGTGTATGTGCAGAAATTTTCTTTTTTTCCCTCTTCCATGTTGAAATTCCATCTATCCTTTGATAACTAGCTTCTCTCACCACTTTGTGAGAATTTCCATGACTTTCTCAGTTCACACTGTGTTCTCCTTTTTTTTTTTTTTAAGATTTATTTATTTAGAGATAGGGTCTCGCTCTGTCACCCAGACTGGAGTGCAGTGGGTACGATCGCCAGCTCACTGTGGCCATATCAAACTCTCCTGGGCTCAAGTAGTCCTTCTGCCTCAACTTCTCAAGTAGCCAGACTACAGGTGTGTACTACCGTGCCTGGCTAATTAAACATTTTATTTATTTTATTTTTATAGAAGCAGAGTCTTGCTTTATTGTCAGGCTGGTCTTGAACTCCTGAGCTCAAGTGATCCTCCCGCCTTGGCCTCCCAGAGTGCTGAGATTACAGGTAGAACAGCCATGCCCAGCCTTCTCCTTTTTAAAATCACTTCTATAAGAAGTGTATAAAGTTATCTTGTATATATGTTTTATATCACTAGATTTTTTTTTTATATTGTAGGTTAAATATATATTGTCTTGCATTATTATTTGACTTGAATATACATAAATCTTGTTTCTCCAATTATATTGTAAAAATCTTAAGAGCAGGGACAATGTCTTCAACTTTGTTAATTCTTTCACAGTGCCATGAAACCTGACCAAATACTTATTAACGTAAAGTGGTATTTTTACCAATAATTATAACCCTTCCTACAAAACCTTTGCATAGAAAGTTTAAAATAATAATTTGAGCTACATTTGCTTTTATCCTCCCAGAGAGAGAATGCTAATGAGCTGTGAAGTGACCAAAGATCTGGCAGCAGAGAAAAAATAATGGTTTGTATATTACACATTCTGGATAATCAGCTCTTGAATGATTAAGTGTGGAAAACATCTTATGGGAAAAAGCAATTTTTAAAACTCATTTTATGACCATGGAATTGTTGTATTGGTCATTTCAGTTTCAGATGATCCTATGCCAAACTTACATTATTTGGAAAGAAATACAGTTTTCTCTTATGATATGCCGTATAACCACATACAAATATGCCTTAACAGTTGTTCTGCCTTCACATCAATGTTCCCCATTGGATAGATCCACAAAATGGTGGTCTGGGAAACTAAGAAACAGAATTATTCCACCTGTAGAAGACCAGGAAGGGATTTTGAAGAAAAAAATTGCAGTTCAATTCACTCTTGGTACATCTTTTAAAAAATTCTTGGGGCTTGAAGCAACCACTTGAAATTAAGGTTTACCTGAAACCTCAGAATGAAAGGTTAGTGTGCACTAGTCAGATGAAAGCTAAAACACAGGAAATAGTAAGAGGTCTGGACTACACTGTCTCTCCTTCAAATTGAAAGTTGGGATCTAAGAAGAAGACACATTTAGGAATCAGTATGGTTACTTTTAACAAAGGGAGCAATTGCCATGGTCTAGGTCAATTACATTTAGTCCTAGTGATTTTCCTAATGGACTTTGGAATGTCTTATTAAAGCCAAGTCACCATCTCCTGGTTCTTTGGGATGGGTGCTACAACACCCCAACATAGAGTTGCCTAAATTAAACTTTACCTATGTCTGTATTTATGAGTGCATTTTAAACTTTGCAGTATATTTCAGGGAGAGTATATCTCTGAAAATTATTACTCCTGTAAGCTCTATATGATTTGCCTGGCAAAACAAAGACACAAATACCTTGCAATTTGGTGGGAGATTATATATTCCTTCTGTTCACTCCATTTGTAGATATTAATGTTGAAGCAAAATCCTAAAGCAACATGACCAGAGTATTATTGCAGCCATCACCCAGGCCTTATCATTTGGTCTCTGCAATTTTTTTTCTTTCCTCAAATAAATAGAAGCAGGAAAAATAATGGGTATAGAGTACATATTATTAATATGTTGGATTCTCAAGGTCTAAGTCTAAGTGTTTGTTACTTAGAATTAATTTCCCATGGAAATAGTGTAGTTAATTATGGTTAGATGCCAAGGCTGGAGCCACGAGACCTCATACAATATTAGTAGGTGTGGCAGGATAAATTGATTGAGAAACCATATTTTGTCTAACATCTACTGGCTCATCATGGAAAAACAAGAAGTATTTCTTTTTCCCTTCTTCTCTCTAGAGACAGGTTAAACTGTAGTACATTTTCTGATGCCTTAGCCCATGAAGGCAGATGATTCGATGATTTGGGATGGGAAGGACTCCAGAAAGGAAATGGCCTGATGTCAGGAGAATTTGGTCTCCTGAAGCTGTCTGGAGAGAACCAGACAGAGTCAGTTCTATAAATGGTGAGGAGCTATGTCTACTCCCAAATGGGAACAAATGGTACAGATGTCCAATGGGGATGTCAGCAAGGATATCTTGTCTCAGAAGTAATAAAAATACTAAATTACACAAGGATATAATAAGCCAAGGGTGAATGATGTAAACTCTAGGTCACCATTAAGAGAATAATAGAAATATTTATAACTAACATAATATGGAAATAGCAAAAGGGAGAAAGGATAGTTAATTAAAAATGAATTAGCTAAATGGCGGCAAGAAAAAGATAAAGGAGCAAGTAACAAATTGGGGCAAATAGAAAAAAATAATAAAATGGGTACCTATTAACCCAAATATCTCATTAAATTACCTTAACTATTAAAATTAAATATAAATTAATTATAAATTTAAAATATGAAATAAAAAATGGCAATACTCACTAAAGACAAAAGATAGTCATACTGGCTAAAATAATTGCATATGCTTTTTTTACAAGATACAATGAAGTAAAAAAATAGAAAAAACATGTTATACAAAGCTATCACCTCAAAGCTCTCTAGCTATGCAATAACATACAAAGTAGACTTTAAGAAAGAAGCATTATTAGAAAATAAAGTGGGATATTTTACAACTAAACACAAATATCAATCCATCAGAATACAATAGTCTAATTCTGTACACAACTAGCAATATACTTCAAAATATATTAATTTAAAAATTCCCAAAACTGCAGGGAGAAATAGGTCTACAATAACAGTAAGATCTTTTCAGTAACCAATAAAAAAGTAGACACAAATTAATAAGAAAATACAAGATTTAAAACAACATGATTAACAGGATTTACAAAATTGATATATATTGAACATTTCACCAAACAACTACAGAATTCACTTTCATTTCCTATGAACATGGAACATTTACTAAGTGGCAATAACAGCTTTGGCCATAAAGCAAGCCTCATGTATTTCAGCATTGACATAATACAGGCACATTCTTTGAGCAGGGGAATTAACCTAATGATGTTTCCCAAAAACTAGAAAGTTTTCAAATATGAAAATTTAGCAGTATACTTCTAAATAGTCCACTTAGAGTCAAGAAGCCGAAATCACAATGGAAATTAGAAAACTATTTATTTATTTATTTATTTATTTATTTATTTATTTATTTATTTTGAGATGGAGTCTTGCTCTGCCGCCCAGGCTGGAGTGCAGTGGCCGGATCTCAGCTCACTGCAAACTCCGCCTCCTGGTTCCCAAACCATTCTCCTGCCTCAGCCTCTGGAGTAGCTGGGACTGTAGGCACCTGCCACCACGCCTGGCTAGTTTTTTTTTTTTGTATTTTTAGTAGAGACGGGGTTTCACTGTGTTAGCCAGGATGGTCTCGATCTCCTGACCTCGTGATCCACCCATCTCGGCCTCCCAAAGTGCTGGGATTACAGGCTTGAGCCACCGCGCCTGGCCTAGAAAATACTTTAAACTAAATCATATTAGAAAGTATGACACAAAAAATTTAAAGATATAACTAAAACTTGTTTTGGGCGAAATTTATTATCTTAAGGCTAGAAACGTGGCTTTAAACAAAAATTACTAAGTATCTAAAAATTAGAAACAAAATGCAATTAAACTTGGAAAGACGTAAGAGAAAAGAGTTAAGAAAAGGTAATGAAGAAAAGAAAATGTGTAGTAGGCTGGCGTGGTGGCTCATGCCTGTAATTCCCAGCTCTTTGGAAGGCTGAGGTAGGTGAATCCTTGAGCCTAGAGGTTTGAGACCAGCCTGGGCAACAAAATGAGAGACCCCATTTCACCTGAAAAAATTTAAAAGTTAGTTGGGTGTGATTGGCTGCATCTCTGGTCGGCTACACAGAGGCTGAGGCAAGGGGATCACTTGAGCCCAGGAGGTTGAGGCTGCAGTGAGCCCTGTTCATGCCATTGCATTCCAGCCTGGGCCTAGGTGAAAGAGTGAGAACCAGTCTCAAAAAAAAAAAAAAAAGGAATTACAGTGGAGAAAAGTCACTGAGAAAATAATGAAACTGGTAATTCCCTAGCAAAACTGATCACACATACAATATACAAATAAAAAGAAGGAGGAGCACATAATACCTCTATCAGACATTAAAAAAAAAAAAAAAAAAAAGACATAAGTGGACCCCACAAACATTATAAAGTTGAAGAGAAAATATTTTGGACAACTTAATGTCGATAAATTAGAAAATTTAGATAAAATGGGAAAATTTCTAGAATAGCCCAATTTGCAAAAGTGACACACAAAAGAAATAGAAACCAGATAGTCCTGTTGTGACATATTGACAAAACATGCATCTATGAACAAATTTTAAAATAAAACAGACTAAAATGTTTTATGACCTTGTATTTCACAAATGTTTGCCATTACTACACACATACACACAAAAACTACACAAATACTACACATAAATATAAAAGAGGCCGGGCGTGGTGGCTCACACCTGTAATCCCAGCCCTTTGGGAGGCCAAGGCGGGCAGATCATGAGGTCAGGAGATCAAGACCATCCTGGCTAACACATTGAAACCCCTTCTGTACTGAAAATACAAAAAAATTAGCCAGGTGTGGTGGTGGGTGCCTGTGGTCCCAGCTGCTGGGAATCTGAGGCAGGAGAACGGCGTGAACCTGGGAGGTGGAGCTTGCAGTGAGCCGAGATCATGCCACTGTACTCCAACCTGGGGAGATAACAAGATGCCATCTCAAAAAAAAAAAAAAAAAGTGTAAAAGAAGGCCCAGGCACAGTGGCTCACTGTAGTCCCAGCACAGTGGGGAGGCTAAGGTAGGATAGCTTGAAACCAGGAGTTTGGGGCCAGTCTGAGCAAAGCAAGAACCTGTCTCAAAAAAAAAAAAAAAAGGAAAAAAAGAAAATTAATAAATTAGACTTATACAGTAAATTTTTGCTCTTTCATGCTTATTATAGAAATGAAACTACACACCACAGACTGGGAAGAAAATATGTGTAAAATAAACACCGGATGATAGGCTTGTATTAAGAATAATAAAGAATTCTTACAACTCGGTAAGTCAAATTAAAAATAACCACAATTTCTAAAATGCGCAAAGATTTTAATAGACATTTCATGAGTGTCCAGTAAGCACATAAGCATACTCAACATTGTTAATCATTTAGGAAAATGCAAATTAAAACCATAACGAGTACCATTAGATATACACTAGAATAGCTAACATTGACAAGACTGACAATGCAGGTGCTAACTAGATCACGAACAACTGAACACTCACATACTGCTGATGGGGTATGAAATATATAATCACCTTGGAAAAGTTTGACAGTTTCTTAAGTTAAACATAAACTTATAAGACCCAGCAGTCCTAATCCTAGATACCTACTTAAGAAAAATGAAAATATATGTATATACAAATACATGTCTTGATATCCGTTGCAGCTTTTATTCATAATGGCTAAAACTGAGAACAACAAAATGTCCATCAAAGATGAATTGATAAACAAGTTGAGATATATCCATAAAACAGAATACTATTCACCAATAAAAAGTAATTAACTGGGTCAGGCACGGTGGCTCATGCCTATAATCCCAGCACTTTGGGAAGCCAAGGAGGGCAGATCACTTGAGACCAGAGGAGTTTGAGACCAGCCTGGCCAACATGGCAAACCCCGTCTCTACTAAAAATACAAAAATTAATTGCTGTGGAGTGCATTACTTGTAATCCCAGCTACTCAGGAAGCTGAGGCACAAGAATCACTTGAACCTGGGAGGCAGAGGTTGCAGTGAGCTGAGATCGCACCACTCCACTCCTACCTGGGCAAGGCGAGACTGTCTGGGGAAAAAAAAAAAAAGTAATTAACTACTTGCTGAAATGACATGGATGAGATTTCAAGTGCCTCATTGAAAGAAGCCAGACACAAAAATACCACTAACTGAATGGTCCATTTTATATAAAATTCTAGAAAAAGACCAAGGTATAGTGACAGAGCACGTATCCAGTGTTGTCAGTTGTCAGGAGGAGTGGAAGAGAGAAGTAACTTCAAAAAACACATAGAGCTGTTTGGGATAATGAAAATATTCTGTATGATGGTTTTGATGATGGTTACCTTGTAAAATAGACTTATAAAATTAATGCAATTACATTCTGCTAAATTGGTGAATTTCATTGTGTGAAAATTATATCCCAATAAAGCTAACCAAAAAAAAAAAAAAAAATGGGTCAAAGAAGACTTGAACAGGTACTTCATAAGATCATCCAAATGACCAATAAACATATGAAAAGGCATAAATTAAAAGTAGAATGAGATACCATTCTGCACCTATCATTATGTCTAAAATCAAAACGATGGAAAATACCAAATACTGCTGAGGACACTGGCACAACTGGAACTCTCCTGTGCTGCTCACAGGGATGTAAATTCGTATTACCACTTTGGAAAATTGTTTGGCAATGTCTAGGAAAGCTGAATATGTGCATAACCTATGACTGGGTAATTCTAGTTCTGTTTGTAGTCAGAATTTGAGAACCAGTAGGAAGGATAAATATTGGTGGTAAATCTGTACAGTTCAATACTACACAGCAATGAGAATGAGCAGACTTCTGCTACATATGACATGAAAG